ATGTGATTGGAGTCTTTAACCTGATAAATTGTTGAAAAAGTTTCCAATTTTTCTCATATTGCATAGAAGTTTGGGGTCTATGACCTGCTATCACTTGGTTAACTATGTTGGAATTACCCAACAATCTATGTGAACATCTTTTGAGAAACTCCAAGCGTGAAGTGCCAAGGATATCTCGAACTGTGGGTGCAGTACCTGGTCTAGATATCCTAGTTGCAATTGTAGTGGATGCGGGCACCAGTCCAACAGATCGAGACACCACGGTTGTAGAATCCAATATGGTGCAATTAAGAGGACCTTCCCTTGGAAGGATCTGAGTTTGTGAACTACTTTGGGCAACATTTTCACAGGTGGGAACAGATAGATTGAATTCCAATGGTTCCAATCTATAAGTAGAGCATTTCCTAAAAGATTTGATCATTCCAGAGATGCATAAATTGGCATCCTGTGATTGTTTTCTGAGACAAAGATATCTATTTGTGGATTCCCAAACCTCCTCACTAGACTCTTGAACATCAATATCTTTAGGGACCGTTCTGTTTCCGTCGGTACTGGCCTGAGACGGGACAACGCATCTGCCCAATTGTTTTGTACTCCTGGTATGTGAGTTGCTTTGAGGTAAAGTGTTTGTGTTACACAAACTTTGAAAATTTTTCCTGTTAGTTTTAGAGGGGGCCAAGATCTGGTTGAGCCTTGATGATTGACGCAAAACACTGCCACTCTGTTGTCCATGGCAAACAGAATCGTCATGTTTTTGAAATTTGGGTTTGCTAATAAAAAGACTAGGACCACTACTAATTCTTTTACGTTTGTGTTTGTCCCAAAGGGAGTTGCTCCACTTCCCTTGACGGAACTCTCCTTTTGAGGAATGGTATCCCCATCCTATTTCGGACGCGTCCGTACAAACGACGAAGTCTGTTTGAGGGGGAACCCAGGGAGATGAACCGATTAGATTGTCCAAATTTTTCCACCATGACATGATTCTTGATCTGAACAGGGAGAGAAGAAGCAATATTTCTGTTTCTGTGAAGCAACTTCGACCCCAGATGAGTAAGTTGCTTCTTCTTTAACTTGCCCAAAGGAACTACTATAGTGGCAAAATTCAACAGACCCAGTGGTTTTTCCCAATCATGCCAAGAAATCTCTTGCTTTACACAAAAGGCTTCTACTTGGTTTATCACATCTGTTACCTTTGCTTCTGGTAGACTGACTGACTGCTCATTGGTGTCCCAATGGAAACCTAACCAATCCAATTTCTGACATGGTAGGAGATTTTATTTGACCTGGTTTATCTTTAATCATAGGTTTTGAAATAGTACTGGTGTACATTGGGTCGCCCTCTGACAATGTTCGAAAGAGTTTCCCACTATCGGCCAATCGTCTAGATAAGCAAAAGTTCTTATGCCCTCCTTCGCAAGGATATCTCGGGGGGATGTTTGCCAGTTTTGTAAACACTTTTGGCGCAATTGTCAGGCCGAATGGCATCACTGTGAGTTGATAACTTACATCCCCCACTGCGAACACTAGAAACTTTCTGTACGTGGGAGCAACAGGCACGTGATAATAGGCATCTTTGAGATCCACTTTTGCGATCCAAGCATTGAGTGGAAGTAGATGCCTCAGATGATCGTAAATGAGCATCTTGAAACTTGTTTTGGTAATGAACTTGTTCAGGACGGAAAGATCTAAAATCCACTTCAATTTGTGGCTGCCTTTCTTGGGGACTGGGAATAGGCGAGACTTGAAACATTTCTCTGACTGCAACAGTTCTATGGCACCTCTGTTTAACAGTTGAAAATATAAATTCTGGGAGTAAGGGGGTTGTTTATTTACCACTTTTTAGTAACACTAGGGGAGGGCGCCTCAACCAAGTCTATTTGAAGCCCCCTTTGATTGTCTTGTAAGTCCATATGGAAGAAGTCCACCTGTTTTCCCAACCCCGTAGACAACCCAGCTGTCTGTCTTTATTGGGAGGGAGTGGTCGCTGATGTGGTGGAATAAGGTTCTCCTTCCACTTATGAACAAACGGCCGCTCCTACTACTCCTTGAATTGTTTCCTCCTCTAAAGTTTCCTCTAGGTTGATAAATGAACCTAGCAGCTGGTCCTGTTTCCCTGTTAGACCTTCTTCTTTTAAATTTCCAAAAGGTCTTAGGACTCCTGGGAACAGTAATGTTAATAGCTTGCTCAACAGCTGATCTATACTTAACTAATGTTTGTTCATCAAACAAAGCAGGAGAAAGAGGGAAGAACATAGCAATAAATAAGCACTACCACTTGAAGCATTATTAGTGGCTTGCTACCTTAGCTGGGCTTTTAGTTTTAGGGCTTTCAACAACATTTCCAAAAATGAGTTCAACAGGGAATATGAAATCCCTTGTATAGCAGCAGCAAAACATGTGTCTACTTCTGAACTGTCCTCATAGTCCAGCACAAACTTAGTCAATAACTGACACATCATAATTGCAGACCAAATATCTGCTGCCAAGTTTCTAAATTTGAACTCTTCAAGCAACAGTGCAGAAGCTACTGTTTTCAAATTATTTCATAACTTATATCAGCATATTTTTGAGCTGACAAATAGTGGAAAAGTTCATATAAGGAACTCTTTTTACCATTAAATTGGAACTTCAAAAAACTAAACTTAGTGAGCATTCCTCTCTGCGGGAATGAATGTTAAGTCTTTCAATATATTAGCCCAGACTTCATCTAATTCAGAGATCATTTTTGGGCAATAGGCCAAGAAATTGTGGTATCACCTTCTAAAAACAATGAATGATGACCCACAGTTGCTTGGCCTTCGTGTCTCTTTGTAAGTGCTGAGAGATCAGGAAGTTTAGAAACATTTTCATAAAATACCTTGAATAAGGAATCCACAGACTCAGATGTGGTTGAAAACAAAGAAGACTTAGATCTTACCAATGTTACCCAAAGCCTGTTTGGATCATCCTTACACTCAATGTTATCCATAAGCTGCGTGGCAGTCGAGAGCAGCCTTTTTCCACTCATAGTAACCAACACTTTTGCCCCAGGTGGAAGAGGTTGCCAAAATGGGGAGTGGATGAAGTGAGTCTCAACAGGTTCTCCCTGCTCTAATGACTGAACACTATAATTAGAGCCAACTTCCTCATCTTGATCATGGAATCTACTAAAAAACAGACTGACTAGGTAGAGGTTCTTGTATTCTTCTTACTGCCTCATTATCTAGAATATCCAATAACCTACTTTTCTTAGCGGAAGTAGGTTGGTCGAATTGGGGATTAAGTCTCTTACCTATCACCCATAATTCTAAACTTTCTGCCAACTTTGGATCTTTCCAGTGTTTTACATTTAGAAATTTACTCTTCAAGGCCTTATTCCATCTGTTTTTAATTTGGATCTCTTATCTCCTGCAGCTTGATTAAATTTAAAAATTTGATCATAACAAACTGCACAATCCAATGGTGAAAACAGGTTGTCTGAGACACAGCTGCTATGAATTATGCAAGCCAAATAAGGATCTAACTTGGTCATCCAAGTGGCTCTACATCCTTGATAATTACAAGTAGTAATTGGGTCCTGGGTCCTGGGTGAAACTACTACAACTGAATTCACAACCTCTATTGATGGACATTTACTTGTATGCAGTGTATGAGCTGAGCTCTCCAGTCCTTGTAGCTCCTCACTCAACACTAATTCCCCAATGGTCTCCTCCATCATCCAGCAGTCCAGACAACTGTCCTTCATCCTCCATGAGTCACAGTGTATCATCATAATAATACAACGGAGATTACATTTCCTCCCAAGCACAATCAATATGACTCGTAACTGTGATATTTTAGTAAGTTATTTCATTTAATATCTCTTATTGTCATATAAGTCACCAGTGTGACAATCATAAACAAATAACTCACTATATCATACACCTCTCCCTTCTCTTATCTCAATTATCCCTCAGCTCAATGAACTTTATTTCTTAATCAAACGAACTTCATTTAGAGCTCTTATAATTTGAGGGATCACTAAGTTCTCTATTTGTTGCCATTCAGGGTGCACAAACATCATCGCTTCAATTAATTAGTTGGAGCGATAATGCCTGAGTGAGCATCGTCACCCGGAAGGGTTGACAGTGCTGAGCTGTTACCATAGCGCTCCATTGGCTAACATCGTTCACCATAACTCTAGCAAGATGTATTGGGTTGAGAATTCCACCCTGAATGGTTCTCATATATCCCATACTGAGGATACAAGGTTCTTCCCAACATAACTCTAGATTGCTAATGGAAGGTCAGCGTCCGGAAGGATCACTAAGACTAGCAGCCTCGCTAAAGTTTGCCTGGAAAGGCTGAACCCGCTACTGAGGACATGAATAAAATAGAGTTATGAAGAGAAAAACTTAACTCTGGCCTGCATGCTGAGAGTAATTAGAAAACCCCGGGTGGAAGCCCGAAAAGTTTCGTGAACAAACACGAGAAGAGGGAGAGGGATGGCCACATATATCATGGTACAGGGGCTCCCCTACTTACGAACTGTTTAGGTTTTTGAGGTCTGTTCATAAGTCCAACATTACTCTTGTCATTATTGAATATTGTATATAGCATTTAAAAAAAAAAAGGTTGTACAGAAGCTATACCCCAATAATGCTCGACAGTATTTCTTACCCACCTTAAATGGTATTTTAATGTATAAATAGCATGTATAGTAATAATAAATAAAGGTATTTACAGTATAAGGTTACTGTACTTACTTAATTCCTGGTGCTGCCTTGCTTGCTGGAACTGATGTTGCTTGCAGGGGGTGTTGGAGTTAGTTGGGGGGATGGAGATGAGGGTGGAGTTGGAGGATCAACAGGGTCTGAGGTACAGGTATCTGTTTTTGGGGCACTGGGAATGGCTTTCAAGGTTGTATACCCTGTAGATGTAGATGGCATTGGTTCTTGATGTTCCGTAGAATATAATTTCTCTTCCTCCTTCTGTCCCATCTCAACTATCTTGAAAAACTAATCAAGAGATGTCTGCACAGTTTATCTCTTCTTTTCTTCATAAATTATCTTGTAGCAGGCAATAGCATTGTGAACAGCTGCACACACTTTTGTAAATCTTTCAATGTTTGGGTCCTGAGGCTCAAAAGAGGCTAGTGCTTTCTCAATCATGCTGAAATCTTCATCCAGCTGCTTAGAGTTGAACTTTTTGGGTTCCTCAGCCTCCTGTTCCTCCTCAGCGACCTCCTCCTGGACCCTGTCTGACTCCAGCTCCATCAAATTTTCGTTGGTCAGCTCCTGAGTGTGGCATTCCATCAATTCGTGGACATCATCTTCCTCCATTTCCAAATGCAGTTGCTTGCCCAGTTCCACTAGGTTGTTGGCCACTGAATCCACATTCTCTGTAAATCCCTTGAAGTCATTGGCAAATTGTGGGCAGAGCTTCTTCCAAACACCATTCATGTTGGAAGTCTTGACCTCACGCCAGGAAGCATCAATGTTCTTAATGGCCTTGTAGATGTAGTTCTTCCAGAACTCTCTCAGGGTCACTCCACTCTCCCCTTCTGTCTCCTTCACAGCCTGTGTGAAAGTTCTCCGCAGGTAGTATTCTTTAAAACTTGCCATGACACCTTGGTCCATGGGCTGTAGGACAGAGGTGGTATTGGGAGGCAAGTACACCACCTTGATGTTGGCGTGGAAATCGTCCAGGTATGATGGATGACCAGGGGCATTATCTAGCACAAGCAGGATCTTGAAGGGCTGGTTTTTGTTGTTGCAGTTCTTTTCCACATCAGGTACAAAATTATGGAAAAACCAATCTTCGAAGAGGACTCGAGTCATCCATGCCTTAGGGTTTGCCTTCCACACAACAGGAAGTGAAGCTTTGACAACACCCTTGAGGGCCTTGGGGTTTTTGGAATGATACACTAACAAAGGTTTTAGTTTGCAGTCACCAGCAGCATTTCCACCAAGCAGGAGTATAAGTCTATCCTTCGATGCCTTAAAACCAGGCATAGTCTTCTCTTCTTTGGCGATGTATGTACGATCAGGCATTTTCTCCCAGTATATACCGGTCTCATCCACATTAAACACCTGCTCTGGTAGGTAACCCCTGTCATCAATAATTTCCAACAAAGCTTAAGAAACTCCCTGGCTGCTACCATGTCAGCACTGGCAGCCTCACCACTCACTTGTATGTTGCGCAAGTTTGAACGAGCCTTATACCTGTGGAACCAACCATGGCCAGCAGTAAATGTTTCTTCAGCAACACTCTCACCATGTTTAGCCTTTATGTTTAAAAAGAGACTTAAGGCCTTCCGCTGAATTAAGTTAAGGCTTATAGGCATGTGGTACTGATGCTGGTCTTCCAGCCACACACTCAAAAGTTTTTCCATCTCTGCAATCACCGAGCCTCTTTTCTTACTAATGATCGTGAAATGCATCAGCACAGAACCTTTCACATGTTGCATAATGTGCTCTTTGTCTTTCAAAATTGTTCCAACAGTCAAACGATTCATCCCAAGAGCATTTGCTATGTTTATCATTTTCTCACCTCTTTCACAACGCTTTATAATGTCCACATTAGTTTTCAACGTAATAGTGCGACTCTTCTTACTAACACCAGCACCACTAGCATCACTCTTACGCTTCTGAGACATGTTGGGGTCAATAATAATCGTCAAAACCACAAATAACACCGTGAGGCAGCAGAGGAACACAACAACAACAATGGTGCTGGGGATACAGGGTGACTCTGAACAGCCAACGCCATCTATCGCACGGCGGTTGAACTTACGACTCGACGCGGTTTTCAAACAGGCAATTTGGCAATTCGACATAGACAGGTTTGTTCATATCTGAAAGTTCATAACTCGAATGTTCGTAAGTAGGGGAGCTCCTGTATTCATTACTTGCACGTGTATACAGTAATACCCCGCTTAACGCGGTTTCGCTTAGCGCAATTTCACGTATATGCGGTGCCTCGCCAGAGCCGAACTTTCACTTAACACTGGTTTTTTCCACGTATACGCGCAGAGTGTCCGGCTTGAGACGCTATTTTTAGATTCGCACCCGCCTGCCTTCCTGTTTTAGCTCATAAAATTCATACAAATTACCCGGCCAGAATATAATTTACATTGCTGGAATTCTTACAATATGATGATCATTTTGAATATAAACATCATAGATTTTGCATTAGACATACAAATTTTAGATTTAATGTTTACTCTGAGTAAATATGTTATTTTTTGTGCAAAATATATGACATTTGTATTCAAAATATTCCTGGTCTTACAAGGAATCCAGCAATGTCAATTATATTATCCTAACTTTAGATTGAGGTATTATTTATTACTAAAAAGGTAAATACAGTCAACCCTCACTTTTCGCGGTTAATGTAACCCACAGGGTCCCGCGGAAAGTGAGGAACGCGTAAAGTGAATAACATAACATATGGGATTAATTGAAATAGAGTCCGGGCCGACCCCCAAACTCCACCCAAACTCCACTTTTTGACGACACACAACTATGTTGTAGTAAAAATTTTATCTTAACTTTATGATGGCATGCACAAACAAGAAATATAGAAGAGGTTAGGTAAGAAAAACAAAGGTTAAGTTAGGAAAAATAAAGGTTAGGTTAGGAAAACTAAAAGTTAGGTTGAACACTTACGTTAGTAGAAGAGATGGGTCGGCATACGGGGATGGAGGCTGGTTCCGAGGCAGAGGGCAGATTACTGGCCCTCAGGTGAATCACCATTACTAGGTGCATCACCATCACTGTCACTTACAGTTCTCAGGGCTTCCCTGACAAATCCCTCAAAGTCATCTTCACTGTCACTATCACTGGCTTGGGCTGGCTGTGGTGGGTTGCGGGCGAAGAAATCTGTTATGCTTTGCTGACGGCTGGTGTTGATGTTGTCGTGACACACCTTGATGTAGGGCTCCATAGTCTGCAACAGCTGGGTAGTGAAGATTTCATACCTGTTTGCGTCAGGGTCGTCAGAAAGGAGGAGCTTGGCTTTCTCGATACACTCGATGGCACCCCTAACATTACTATGGGATAAACGGTGTTCTTCTTGGGATGACGCACTACCTGCCTCTTTACTGACGTCGTCATCATCATGTACCATTTCCTCGGTAGTCACATCAGGTTCCATTATCACCTCCATGATGTCGTCGTTGGTGGTCTCGGAGAAGCCTGCAACTGTAACACTCTGCGCAGCTTCTCTGGCAAGGTCCACTGCTACTGCAACAGTCTGAACCTCACCAGTCACAGATTGACTCCTCCTCTCACCCGGTATGCCATGCAACACATGTCTCCATGCGTGACGAATTGTAGCAATAGACAGCTGATCCCATGCCTCCACCAAGAAGTCCACAGCTTTCTTGATGTTAAATACTCTCCAGAATTGTTTGAACAGTATTTTTTGCTGTGCCAACTGTTGATCCTCATCTTCTTCGCTCTTGCTATCGGTGGTGGTATCACTCAGGTTACGCAACTCTTCCCTGGTGTTGGTGTAGTCGTTCAGGAGCTGGAACTTTTTTGTTGAGAATGCAGCTTTTACATTGCAGATTAACTCTTGGTCCATGGGCTGTAATATAGACGTAGTGTTGGGAGGAAGGAAGACCACTTTTACGTTGGGGTGACGATCTAACAGTAGGGGCGAGTGTCCTGGTGCGTTGTCCAGCAGCAACAAAATATTGAATGGCACATTCTGTCGCTCACAGAATTTCTTTACATCGGGAACAAAACAGTCATCAAACCAGGAGAGGGACAGTGTAGAGAACATCCACGCCTTACCTGCGGTCAGCCAGTGGACATTTAGCTTGGTCATGTCCATGGTTTTGTAGGTGTGCGGCTTGCGTGCTGTGTGGATCACCGATAACTTGAGCTTACAGGTACCGGAGGCATTGGTGGTAAACAGGACGGTGATGCGTTCCTTCTGCATCTTCCGGCCCCGAATCTTGCTGGCATTCTTTACAACGAAGGACTTGGAAGGTAGCTTTTTCCAGAAAAGACCAGATTCGTCCATGTTAAACACCTAGTCGTCACTGTACTGTCCTTCCTCCATAATCTCACGTAAAAACGGAGGAAATTCCCTAGCCGCAGCACGGTCAGCACTCGCTTCTTCACCACCAATATTTATATTGGTGATCTTGTTCCGGATCTTAAACCTCTGTAACCACCCAGAGGAAGCATTAAAGGGTTTGGGCTCTGTAATTCCCATCTTTCGTGCCACTGCAATGTACAGTTCACGTGCGTACTCCTTAACAGAGCGCGTGTCGACCGCCATGTTCCGTCGCGCCTGACGCACCAAGTACCTCACAAGTAATTTTTCTGTCTTGAGAAGCACCTGGTTGTGAAAATACGTGATCATAGAAGCACCTGTAGACTTTGTGACCTTCATGTGCTCCTTTATCTTGGCTGCATCCTTCTTTATTGTTCGAATCGTAGATTCATTCACACCATGCTGGCGCGCCAAATCAACCTGCCTTGTTCCTTTCTCCATCTCTTGGATGATGGTATACTTCACCTCGTAGCTTAAGGAACGTCGTGTCTTCTTTGGCTTACTGCCGCTGGGTCCAGGTAAGGAAAGGTTTCTCTCTGGGGGCGGTGGTCCGGCGGAAGCCATTTTACAGAACAATGGATACACGTTTACACGGTCTGGCCTGGAGGGATGAAACTGCCGCGGCTAGGTCAAGCGTCATCTTTCCTCCCTCCCTCCCTCCCCCGGGTGGACACGTCATAATACTTTAAGCCAATTACAGCTAGCAACAGAGGGGGGTAGGGATGCATGGCCAATCACAGTCCGATACGTCATATGACGTCAGTGATAACGCAACAAAGACACACACTGCGCAACCTTACCGCGCGGCTTGCCCAGGCGGAGGGAGGGAGGGAGGAGGAGGGAGAAGCGAGAGCACAGGCAGGCAGGCAGGCAGGCGGGTGGCGGGCGGGGCGAATCTAAAAATAGCTTCGCGCCGGACACTCTCCGCGTAATGGGGTTCACGCACCGCGTAATGTGAGCTCGTTAGGTTCTGGCAGGGCACCGCGTAAATGTGGAAACGCGGAATGTGGGACCGTGTAAAGCGAGGGTTGACTGTATTCTGGTTTTCCCACACATCTGGTAGGGGTGGGAGGTGGGGGGAGGGAGGGACCTACCGACCATCTGTTACGGTGTGAAGAATATATTTTTTTTTTTATTAACTGAAGATATTTGTTTTAGCTCATAAAATTCATACAAATTACCCGGTCAGAATATAATTTACATTGCTGGAATACTTACAATTTGATGATCATTTTGAATATAAACATCATAGATTTTGCATTAGACATACAAATTTTAGATATAATGTTTACTCTGAGTAAATATGTTATTTTTTGTGCAAAATATATGACATTTGTATTCAAAATATTCCTGGTCTTACAAGGAATCCAGCAATGTCAATTATATTATCCTAACTTTAATCTGAGGTATTATTTAATACTAAATGTTAAAATTTAGTTTTTTCACCCAACATCTCTTGAAAGGAGGATTGGTGAGGGGTGGGGGGAGGGTTGGGATGGACCGACCACCTGGCGCAGTTGGAAGAGGGGGGGAGGCAAGGTGGGGTACTTTGATTGACAGATAGTGTCGTGAAGAATATTTTTTTATTTATTAACTGAAGATATTTGTTTTAGCTCATAAAATTCATACAAATTACCCGGCCAGAATATAATTTACATTGCTGGAATTCTTACAATTTGATGATCATTTTGAATATAAACATCATAGATTTTGCATTAGACATACAAATTTTAGATATAATGTTTACTCTGAGTAAATATGTTATCTTTTGTGCAAAATATATGACATTTATATTCAAAATATTCCTGGTCTTACAAGGAATCCAGCAATGTCAATTATATTATCCTAACTTTAGTTTGAGGTATTATTTATTAAAATGTAGTGGTTTTCTCACCAAAATTTCTCGGAGAGGGAAGAGCCAGCGAGTGTAGTGTGAGAAGAGGGGGAGGGAGTTGAGTCCATTATTTGAATGGACATTAACTTGGCGACTGTATTTCTCTATTTCTCTTAAGTATTAATTGTGTGCATGTACCATCATAAAATTAAGATGTTATTTTTACTAGAACATAGGTATTGTGTCGGAAAAAGTAGAGTTTGGGGGTCCTGCCAGTCTCTATTGGAATTAATCCCATATGTTCTGTTGTTCACTTAACGCGGTTTTCACTTAACACGGTACCCTGTGGGTTCAATTGATCGCGTTAAGCGGGGTACTACTGTATTTGGGACAAAGAAAAATTTATATATAGATGGAAGATGAGCCGTGGTCGCCATGCTTGACCAGACCGTATAAAAACTTGCCCCAAACACAATATTTGAGAGACATAAATAAAAGTCACTCGATTTCCTCACCGTGCTAAGATGTATAAACACCAAATATAAAATCATTGTGGCACTTAGTATTTCAGCTATTACAACACAAATTAGCGGAGCCTTCTTTGTGCGTATTTACAGTTGATTCGCCAGGCAAGAAGATGATGGTAGCAATGCACGTGATGGAGGGTGCGGGAGGGGGTTTTGAGAATTGCAATTAAATGCCAGGTAGCAACGTGTCTTAATATTACATATTAAGTAATTATTAGATGTTTTAAT